CCTCGACCTGAAAGAAAGGAATATTTTCTCCACATGGCCTTTTTGTTTAGGAGCTATCATCTCTTGACTCTTTTATCATGCTGAGAGAGAGAGAGAGAGAGAGAGAGATGACAAAAACATTACAGCAGGCCCAACTAGAATAATAGCCAATTCGCATGTGCTGTTTTGTGAGTCAATAGTGAATACCCAGGAATCTTCCTAAATTGATTAAAATTCCTAACAGTTTAAAATGCTCACTACAGTATTATTTCTAGTTTTCTCACATGAACCATATGACATTTCAAAGAGGAAAAGAGCTGTCTGACTGTGTTAAAACTCTTAACATGAAGAAACCATATGAATATTGTTTTATATTCAAAGCAGAAAAAGAACATTGTTAAATGATGTTGCTGATATTATGGTTCTATCAGAGGGATGAAAATGCATCTATAACATCAACTTGCCCCAACTTTACAGAATCAAGCAGGAAAGCACAAAACCTAAAATACATCAACTTCTCCAAACAATTTTGTTGTAGTTTTAGTTAACCTTTCACATGTTGAAGGTTTAGGAGAATCACACATAGTTGTCACAATTTTCTCACTTTTTCTTTTTTCTTTCTTTTTTTTAAATCATTATGTAGAGATAAGGAACATAACCATATATATGTAATCTAATTCCACAACTGATACTCGAGTAAATCCGATCACAACTACATGTCGACAGATAACTGCCTTAAGTGGGAATTTTTGCATCAGTAGGGATGGATATATTATGTCCCGCCAGAAGCAAATAGTAAAGAATTATGCAGAGACGTGAAGTAATTTCACACATGAAGACAAAGAAAAAGACAAATTCCATATATATATATATATATATATAATCCAATTAGTAAATTACTAAGACAAATTCCATAAAGCATGAAGATGCTTCAATCCCTAATTCCCTTGAATTTAGAAAAAATTAAAAATTGTCACCGTATCCCCAGAATATTATTTATCCCATAACAAGTAATACCGGCAAGATGATCAATATGATAAAAGACATGACAACAATCCACGATTTATCAAGTCACATCTAACAGCAATAGTAGATGTTTTAATCACAACTAGCGAAAAATGCTCATCAAGAAACAAGCGAGTTCTGGATATCAATAAATTTCCATTCCCACAGAACAAGGATAAAGCGGGTGTCATAATCTGTTGCTATCACATGTTAGTCTCATGCCACTCTAATTGTCATAATTGCTAATGGCAACTTACTAGGTCCCACTTGCGGAAAACTGCCACTTGGGTTGTCATTGAATTGGAGAGACAAGCTTCCATCCACCTAACACACCCTCAATAACCACAGCAAAAGGAGACATATTTGAGTGAAATTAAAATTTATTTCCCTTACTAATAGAAGATCAAGTCTATAATATTCTTAAATCCACATAACAAAAAGATAATTTGTTTATTTTCTTTTTTAGTGTTTCTTTTCCATGAACATATGGGAAACAGCAAAGTTCGGGCCACGAATTGAGACATATTTTTCAGAAGGAAAAACAGAAACTTAGGAACATTAACAAAAAGTAACTATTCACTAGTGAGTTTTGCTTTTTTTAGGAAATTTATCTTTGATGTGGAAATAAGAATACTAAAAAGCCAGGTGTGATCCCATGTGTTGCTGAGTCAGAATAGCCTTAAATGTGTCCCAGCCTGCCCATATAGGAGAGAAGAAAAACTGTGTGAATAGGGGTCCCAGCTTCTCCATCAAGATGGAAACTTGCCAAGACTTTACCAAGGACATGTTCTCCTCTTGGAGAGATCTTGTGCAGCCTAAACTGATCTAAACTCACAAAACTGTAATAATTGTCACAATGCTAAGAAAAAGAAAAAGAATTGAAGCAAACTCATTACCAAAAAAATTCCAGTAATTTTTAAAGGTGGAATTTATATATGTACAGAAGTCAGATATACAACTATTCAAACTACAATTTTACCCTCAGGCTCAGCAATCGAAAGATTCTTCCTTCATTGAAGGACTATAAACAGAGGCCGGTACTCAGCTATAGCGAAGACGGGCGGAATGAACAAATTGAACGAATTACTTGGACCTTGGTCAATATCAAAAAGGGATCCTAAGACCTAACCTCACGTATTGGGTTAATTACATCTTCCTCCATCAAAACAAAAAATCCCACCTAAGCTCTTATAGAACAGAAACACTACCATTTTGCTGCTGAGCTGCACCAAGCGGTTGTCCTACAAAATCAAAGACATAACCCAATCATCTTCAAGGTAATTTGACCAAAGTGCAAAGGGAAAGAAAACAAGAAACTGAGTTTATGGATACTAAAAGCAGGATATCAGTGGATTGTTTTGTCTTTTGTCACCAACTAGTAATACAAAGACAACTACATTGATATACAGCCAAACGAAGACAAACAAGGCAACTCCAGCAATTCGAGAGAAACACACGCATACATCACTCTTATAAAATATAAATATTATCAAACATATTTTATAAGTTAGCAATAGAAAATTAAACCTTTAGCATCCTTGTCCTTACATACTCAAATGCTGAAAAACAATTTTCTGTCAGGTTGCCAAAAGAAAAACTACACGTAGGCGAGTGTGTGGTTGTCATGTTCTAAAGTATCAAATAGAAATTAGAAAGCGGTCCCTCTCCCTCTCCCTCTAAAGTGAAAAGGCACTTCAGAATAATAAATAAGTAGGAAGAAAACAATGGTAAAGTAAACAGCTGTTCTTGTGTCTACACATCAAATTTGAACATGTTATGGTTCTTAAGTTATATTAAAGCGAAAAAGTACTTTTGAATAATATATAAGTCAGAGAATGTAGAAATAGTAACTGCATATTGGAGTGGTCTCAACAGAAACGTATGGCCTCTACTAGTTTTTCTACTGTAAAGAACAAGCTACATGACTTCCCAGTTTTTTAAGCACAGCCATCATATACTTAAGTCTTAACCAGCAATTCTACCAAAAAAAAGTCTTAGCCAGCAATTCAAATTTGAATAGTATAACGACAATAAACATGCCATAAAGGAACACCTGAACTGGTCGCAAATGAGAAAGGTTTGGAAAGGTATGTGTTCCTTGCTAAACCAACAGGAGCGACCTGCAGCCTTTGGACATTATCAACAGGAAATTGCTTTGAGAAGTCACTAGGAGGCAAGCAAACTCCAGATGTACCCAAGCACACTTCTGAACTTTGTGCAAGAATTTGATCAGGATTTTGCACAGAAGGCAGAGAAAGTGAGTCCCTCTGTTTCACAAGGAAAAAATGATAACTTCAAATAATTCATTTTTTAACGAAATGATTGGGGCAAGTAGCAGGAGAAACATTTAGTATTCAATAGAAGCAAACCAGACGCACTTAATCCTTAGTAGAACCATTTGATAAACAAATGACACCCATGGCACTAACCACAGTGCTCACAGTTCAAGAGCTAGATGAAACATGGCAACGACTGTGAGTGAATGCCACTGTATGACATACGGGCAAGCTCATTTCACCTCAAGACTTACAACATCAACAAATGAAAACAGAGAAAGTTCTTGTACAAGGCCCAACTTAAAAAGTCTCAGAATTTGTAGACATCAGAGATAACTACTTTCTATTGCAAAGCAATAAGCTAGTAATGATGAAAAAGATGAAAAAGAAAGCATGCAAACCTCGTTGTTAACTGCGTTGTTCATTTGTGTGGGTAACATGTCCTGTGATGACACCTGTGTTGGGTACATGTTTTCATTTGATAACTTCGTTTTCACACTGTCACTGCAGAACTCCTTAGTTGTTGCCTCTGCCTCATAATAAAGATGACAAAGTGCAGACCGAAGACGATTGTTTCTTTGAGAGTAATAAATTTTGGTAGCAAGCGGAAGCGGAACATCTGATTGAGTATATCACAATAATCGATCTTGAATATTGTGATTGTAAAACAAAAGCAAAATGAAGACAAACTACAACATAGGGTGCAGGAAAAAAAAATAAAATAAAATTAAAAAAAGGCCATTCATAATTGACAGCTCAGGAGTAATGCTCGCTTTCAATAGGAAATGATTCATTAGACACTTCATGTTTAACATGACGTCACAATCAACTATAGATAGGCCAAAAGACAAACTTGGAGAAAATTTACACATTTTTAAGTATACCTTGTATTGGGACGCAGCATCCAAGGACTTGCTCATGCTTCTTAAATCCAGCACCACTATCATTAGGAATTTCACTCTCAGAAATGGATGCTTTTGGAGATGTCTGACCTGAAGACATACATCAAGTCCTACACATTAACAATTCATTCAAAAACAGCACTAAGGGTCAACAAATATGTATTTATAAAGATGACGACATTTATGAATAAATAACACATTTTTAGGTTATTCCTTTCCTTTCCAGAGAGCTACTTTCAACTTAAATAAGAGATGGGATACTTGCAGGGATTCTTTGTTGGGAGATCACATCTCCATATAAAAACATAATGTGTAGGCTAAACAAAATCAAATCAGCCAGTAACTATAAATTCATGTATTTTTGTGCCCCTATGGAATCCATTGAGGTGGGCAACTGGTTGCATAAGTACATAGACTTGCACGGGGTAAGATTCTCATGACTTTAGTCTTCCGGGTCAATTCATCAATTCTCTCAAAAGGTTGGTGTGCAATTGACTTGAGAAAACAACTTCCATTGATCTATTTCCCCTTGTATTATGATTTTGACACTATAGTCTATCCATCAGCTAAGCAATTCCACGAACATTCTATGTACCAAAGTTAATAAATTTAAAATTTGGCCTCATATCCCGAGTACTTATTATTTTTGAGACAACAGATGCCGTATTCGTAGATGATCAGATAGTGGTGGCAACTCACCTGCTATCCTACAAGAAGGAAAAGAAAAGGGAGGGGATTTACATCACAATGGGAACAAAAGGTGAAAAAACAAAAATCTGGCAACAGGATTTAAAAGAAACAACTCAAAGGATTTTGACTAAATATTTGCACCAAACTACCATATTCGGGTTATTAGCATTGTTAACCCTGAACTATGTGCTTTATAACACTTTAATTCCTAAACATTTATCGGAAAATTACTCTGAACTTTTGTTTTTGGACACCATGATGGTGAAAATCTATATTGAAAAAAGGTAATCAACTGATCATGTTCTCATCAAGTAATAACTTGAAATCTTATGGAAATAGCAATATTAAGGGCAAAAGGTTCTCTTCATTGATGTTAAAACCCTTGAAAACTAGAACATTTTGCACTTAATGTACCTATTAAAATTTTCAGTTATTATGCTATTGTGACTAACTCCATTAAATTTCAGAAATACCTCGATAATTTTAGTATTAGGGACTAAAACTCTTAAAAAAAGTTCAAGGAGTAATCTACCAAAAAAAAAAAGGAAAGTTTACTAAAGTATCACAATGCGCATAGTTCAGGGACAAGAGGTGCTAATAACCCTTCAACAACATATATATATATATATATATATATTAAAAAGGTCTCAAAATGAATTACTTTCCACTTTAGGCATTTAACAGAGACAACAACCACCTTTACTCGTCATACGAAGCTAAAAAGGGAAGCATATATCAATGGAGAACAGACAAGAGATAAAGCATTGACCTAACTCCTAAGCTAACATTGCCTAAACATTATATTATACCGGGTTTTTTCTACCCGGTGAAGAACATATGAGTGGGATATTTGAGGGCATCCACCAACTATCCAAAATTATTCTCTAAATCACTCAATATGCAATCGACAAAGTTTCCTATATCTTTTGCGTGAAAATTCCTAAATGAAAACAGAGTAATCACTGATTGGACATGAGATAAAAAGCAACAAAAATTGCAAGAGACAACACTAAAGGCCAGAAATGAAGCATTGGTGCGCAATAAAACTCCAAACCATTACATACAGGTATGCATATAATTAAATTTCAAAGAGAAGTAATGGGAAGAAAATGGGAAAAGCATACAATTTAGTGCGTTTTGTCGGTCGAGGCATCACACTGGCTAAGTTGTCAATATTTCCAAGACCAACTCCTGAGCCATCCATCAAACTTTTTACATCTACATAAGAAGAATTCCCTAAGGAGATAGCAAAGCAATCACAAAAGCTGAATATGGAAGAATTCTTAATACAACAGCAAACCTCAAACAAGAGGAAACACAATAGATAAAAGAAACTAATGTGAGGAAACGTAATCATCCGAAACAACACAAAAAGAGCAATAGAGAATTACTTTTTGCCTCCATAAGACAGGAAGAGTTTATACCAATCTTCCTATCCAATTGGGATTCGGCAATAGCAGTATCATCCGCATTTACCGATTCAGACCTCTGGAACTCCTCAATCGACATAGCCTGGTCTAAGATAGGTTAAAGTCTAAGACAAGGGCTAGAGCAGCCATAGAAATGGAGCATAAGGTTAGACCTTTCAGTTTTTTGTTTCCTTTGAAAAAAAGGGTTAAAAGCTTTTGTGTTGATATAAATATATAGATATATATAGGGCCAAAAAAGTTTAATTTAATGGGAAGCAGTGTTTAAAATTGAGCAATCAATTGGCACGCCTCAGCAAGAGGTGTTCACAAATCGCAAATAAGAGGCGTACGCCTCTGCCAACTGAGGCAGGCCTTGAGGCTAGCCTCAAGGCATAATCTGAGGCCAACATGTCGTGTATTTTTTGTTCATATTCTATTGGGCTGAAGTAGATTAAAAGGCCCAAAGCCCAAATAAGTGAAATCAGCAAAAAAATGAGCCCAAAAACTGGTTTTTTCTTAGACAAAACTACTAAATCCGATTGAAACCCTATAGAAAAGGAGGAGTGCTGCCACTACCTGCTGAAATTACATCTATTTCTACAGGCTGGTTAAGTCTTTTTCTTATTAAACTAATGTTCTCAGTTAAATAATAAAAACTATTACTTCTTAATAACAGGATATATGGTTTGTGAAAGTGACAAAATATTAATTCCATGATATATATATATATATATATTAAAAAATTGAGGCTTACACCTCAAAACGCCTTGAGGCCTACACCTTGCCCCACAAAAAGAAAATGCCTCAGTCCAATTGCGCGATTTTAAACCTTGACAGGAAGCATACCACAAAACATGAAGTAAACGAAGGAAATCTAACATAAAAATGAAATATAAAAGGATACTAACATAAACAGATAGTGACTTTTTCCTCTCCTTCCTCATAGGTTTCCGTTGCCTCACATCGCCATCAATGCCCAGTATGAGTTCGCCTTTAGACTTTAAGATCGTACAAAGTTCTGCAAAGATTTAGTTTCAGCAGAACACTAGCACAAGACATGAAAAAAAAAAAAAAAAAAAAAAAAAGGGGACCCCAAGACTGATGAAAATTATAGCTCGAATCAAATAAAACTGGCAACCAGTGCGTGACCATGACGTGTAGACCAATATAAACGGTGATGAAGTCCGTGTCAATTAAAAATCAGGTCCCAAAAAAGGCACAATATCTTGGATTGAACACATGGGTACTCACATAAACTTAAATGAATTCCAATTCGGAGCTACGAAAAAAAAGAGAACTTGGATGATAAAATTCCAAATGAAGTTTTGACTGTGGTTCTAAAATTCAAATATGAAAAAAGAAATACATTACTGGAGATATTTTGAAAAAATATTACATTTAACATAGTGACAACTAAGAAATGATTGAAAACCCCTTCAAACCTGCATGAGCTGCGTATTGACTAGTCTTGACTGGTTTCTTACAAGTATTGCAGCAAACCTTCACATTAATATGAAACAATCAGATAGATAAAGTGATGGTTACTTAGCCCGTGCGTGCAAATCCAAGCATTTAACACATTGAAAGAAAGCGATGGTTACATAGATCATTTAAAAGATGTTTTTCCCATAATATCAGCGATCTGTTCAGGTGAAGGCAGATTCTTTATACTTGTCAATGCGGTACCAAAAACAACCAAAGAAAGGCACAACCTCAAGAAGAAGTAATAATAACAACTTCATCTTGTGCTTACTAAGGATATAGATAATTATAAAAGATAGTAACTTGTAAAGATTACTAAAAGTATACATGCAAGCAAAGGGTACTTTTCCTATAGAAAATAGCAATTAAATAAGCCAACTGCGGCAGTTATCACTTGACAAGGCTAAATCCACAGAACCAAACATTCACACAAATAATACACATGCGGATTAGTATCAAAAGAATTGACAACACCAGTCTAAACTATAATCTTACCAAATGCAAAGGATCAGCCATAGGCTTTACACCGAAGACATGCATATCTGCATAGACAAACAAAAACAAACAAGTAATTGGCATTAGTCACCGCCTGGTTTATTAAACATTATTGTGGCCGCTATAGCTTTTGTATTAAATAAAATAAAATAAAATAAAATAAACACCTTCTTCATCAAGCAAATTTGGTTCATCTGCCTCGCTTAATTCCCTGAATATCAATTGAGCAGCTAATTTCTGATGGCCAACTTCCTCTGTTGAAAAAAAAAAATTAAAATAAAATAACATGCGACTTAACAGATGAATGGTGGTAAAGAAGCTTACATCTCAAAAGAATAGTTACAAAGTGCGGGCAACAAAAATCTCCCTTCCTACCTCTCCCTTAACAATTAACAAGTAACGACTAAATAGAAAGCCAGCCCACACAGGACTTTGGATATAATATATATACCGGCTACTATACTTTGTGAGAAACTCCCTGATGCCAAAAGCCTTGCCATCGCCGCCATCCTCCCATTTCCAAGTGGGCATACCATTTGATAGTCGTATATCTGAATATCTGTTAGCTAAATTCAGCAAAATCAGCTTTAGGACATTAAAACTAGAACATAACTGATACAACAAAAACACTGCCTTTACAGACATACAATAACTTGTTTACTTATCCTTGAGCGTTCCCTAATATGGTAAGTAAAGGAGTGGATTCTTGAACAAATCTTTAATAGAAAAAAGTCACTATACAAAACAAATCGAATATGATTTTTGTTTGGCCCAAAAAAAAAAGAAAAAAGAAAAGAGAACATGATCAACTAACCTACCAAGAAATCACAGTACAACGAAGAATTGAACCAGAAAAAGAAGGTTGAACAAAGAAGCAAGGCAATACAGCCTCTTAACAGCTTTTTGCTGAAAATTAATGGATGAAATAGAGAATGCAAGAATTAATATCACAATTCAAGTAAAAACTAAGCAGAAAGATTGCATGTTTATTGACTGCATAAACTACATTTTCCAGAACAATTCAAGCAGTTCCTACACTCATGCAATTCGACAGAAACACAAAATTCCTCAGTATTCTCAAAAACAATATGGGAAAAACAATCAAATCCATCAAATTATTATCAAACCAATACACTCGTCATTTCTTATCTAATCCAAACCAAACCCTAAAAAAAGAACATAAGCTTTAGACACAATGCAAACCCGCGTTTAACACATCAACAAAAAATTCAATCAGAAAATCAAAATCGAAATCAAAATCAACCGAAGGCACCAACCTTAATCTCTATACAAATTTTCTCGCGATAAAAGCCCTAAACCAAAGTGAGAGAATGCGAGAATTCGAACGGCCACGGATCTCGGCGCAGCGCCCGCAGAAAGAATGCGAGAATGAGGATTAACGAAGAAGCTCGGCAATGGCGGAACCGGAAAACCCTAAGAGAGAAGCTAGAGAGAGAATCCGGGAGCTTTTCTCGGAGCGACAAAAGAGACAGAATTACGGGGAAGGAGAGAGTGTGTCTCTCCTTTTCTTCTCTCCTCAGGAAGAGGAGAGAGAAAGATAGGGAGAGGTGGCAAAGCTAAAAATGGAAGGCCTTGTTCTGCTTTGCTGATTCTGAATTGGCCTTTCTTTTTTCTTTTTTTTTTTGAGATATATATACCCATGCGTTTGAGTGCTCAACTGCAACTGCTAGCACGTGACTCGCACGTGGTATCCAAATCAACAAATTAAAAACTAGCTTCTCTCATTAAAAAGAGAAAAATAATCCATAGATTATTAACTAACATGTAATTTGACTGTTTGGTAATATTTTTAAAATAATTTTTCGTTTTTAATACAAAAATGAGATTCTAAAATTGTGTTTTGTTGATTTTTTAAGATATTATTTTGAGTATAATAAAAAGTGAAATCATGTTTGGTTGTAATTATCAATTAATGTATTGTAATATTGTTGATAAATACTAGAATATAAAAACAGAAAAGAGAAAATAACTTCCAACTGTTTTCTAATTCTTTCACAAAAACCATTATCACTATTTTTTGTTTTCGTTTTCATTTTCAAAATATTTACCAAACAAACATAATTTGCAGACCATTCTTATTTTCATGTCTTAAAATATATGCAAAAACGTTTTCAAAAACAAACAAAAATCAATTCCAAACGCACTTTTATGTTGCATTTTCTTTTCTTTTTTACTTATATAATTATGAATAATAGTAAATTATAGGATTGCGTGTCAATTTTGATTGGTTTGGTTGGTTTATGAGGAAGAAAAATTGAAGACCGAAAAGAATATAAAGAATATCTATTGACAATTTTGATTTTCAAGCAGTGTGGATCTAGTAATCAGGTAATTGACAATTTTTTTGTGTGTTTCTTTTTACATGTAATATTATGTATCGAGGAAGAGATATTGAAGAATATAATATTATTACATATATATAGAAAAACATGTGGGATTTAGTATCTATTCTTAATGCAGTCCGAATAATTCATACGTGGTAAACGTGCCCTAAAAGGGTTAAAAGTAATGACATTGCGATGTGTTTACTTAAAAAATCATTAATGATAGTTAGGCGGGCTTCACACAATGAGGAATGAGAAAGAAGATTGTTAATCTTAGCGCTACTTGACATTGATTGTCGAAAAACAAAAATCACGAATGTCAAATTTGTTTATCATATTATCAATAATTATTTAATAATTTAAAAGAAATAGTGATTAAGTTATTTTCATTCAGAAATATAGTAAATCATATAAAGAGGAATTAGATTATTTTTAATTTCACATCTCAAATAGATAAGTAAATTGTAAACATAATAAATGAAATTGTTGTCACTACTATTAAAAATGTGAACAAAGTTTCACATTAACAATAAATGAGAGCGATAATGGGTTTATAAAAGAGTGAGCTACTCCACTCACTTGAGTTCCAATCCGTTACGATGGAGTTTATGGTTCTAACAACTACTTTGTCATGACAGCTATATCAAGACTTAAAATGAAGGGAAACGAGTCCTGAGGAGTTCGTGATGAAGCCATGGAAGTCCTGGGAGATGATGGCCGGTCGCGACATCGGCGCCAATCAAAAGGCCATTCCGCCATTTTTAAAATTTTCCATAAATTCAGACCTTTTTTTAATTTCTTTCAAATTCCGGTTAATTTTTTTTATAAGCCTGGTAATTTCTTATAATTGTCTTTCATATTAACTTAAGCGAGGGACAATTTTAGTATATATGTTAAAAAAGAAAATGAGATAAATACCTTTTAGAGTGTATAAATTGAAATTTTTTCTTTTTTAATTAAGTAATTATATTAATAAAAAATAAAAATTCACTCTTTAATGATAATTTCAACAATTTTGTCCGCTCAAATTTAAAGAGAATAACTAAGGGCCATATCTCAAATTTTCTCGAAACAGTTGTGGACTCGGCCTGACGCTAGTTGGACTTAGTATTCTGGGCCGCATTAAAAAATCATTGCATGTTGTTCACGAACCTTGTGGACCTGTTTTTCCTGTGTCGTTTTCTGTCTCATGAATCAAACTTTGACGTATCATCATAATTGGTTAGAATTTAGAGAGTAATAAGTGTGCCTTGATTCGTGTCATAGTTCAGATTATAATTTGTAGTTTATTATAATATTTTCTCTTATAAAAAACACACATAAATTAAGAATAGTTCTGAATTATGAGTTTGAATTCATGAACCAAACGTTAGGTAAGTGAAAGAAATTGATTAATAAATATTGTGTATTGAAATGGATTAAATAATATTTGCATGATATACCAATCTACATGGATTATTAACATCGTTCGTTTTACATATATGAACATTTTTCCTTATTGGTACGAAACGATGTGACTGTACAAAATATTGGTCTCCTTTTCCTATTGGGGAAATTACAACGAACGTCTGATTTGGACATTGACCATGTAAAAAATCAGCAACTTCTTATTAGTTTTAGGCCCCGGTCATTTTACCGATTCGAGTTTTGTTACAATAAAAAACTATCAGAAATAGTCACATCTAATTTTTTTACTACAGTAAAAAGCTCTCACATAAAGTCACATCTCAACTCGAATTAACGAACTAAACAGACTCTTATATTCGTCAAGCAATAAATTTTCAGAATTATAAGTGGATGGTTTACTTGACTCGTTAAAAATTCATGTGATCATATACACATAAACAAATATAAATTAAAATTAAAGGATTCGTGTTATAGAAGAAAAAAATTATATTGAACGGTATAGTATAATAGTGGAGTAGCAGTGGCCTGTTCTCCATTTTGTATAATAAAAAAAATAATACATATTTTCAAGAAAAGAACATAAAAATATAAAATTTGGATTCTTTGTGCACATGCCCTTTTCTTAATTGGTTAGTCAAAGACATAAGATGAAAATAGTTAAACTTTTTTGAAGTATATTCTCTTTATAATGTAGTTGATATAAAACTCACCACTTAGCATGAAAATTTTCCACTATCATTCAACATAGTGCGTGTATGGTTTCTCATGACAAGTCAACAATCGAGCATTATACAAACCAGAAAAAGAAAACACTAAAAAAAAAAAGAAAAAAAAATTCCTCCTCCTTTTTCGGTACGCCAACATACCAGTAGACTAACTTTTTTGTTCGTTAGATCTACACAAAATCACGTAAAAATTAAAGAATGTGCAGATCCAATGGTTAAAAAATATATGACCTATCGATACATCATACATACCATAAAAAAAATTCCCTTGTTTACGTAAAAAAAAAAGAAAAAGAAAAAGAAAAATACTCATAAAATACTATAATATTGATACTCATGACAATGTGAAACCCTCTTGATCTCCCATTTATAGTAACAAGTGAATAATGTTATGTCACAAGTATATTATACGTGACAAAAACTCCTCGTTCAAAATTAGTTTTTCCCTTGTTGACCTATGGCAATTGGAAAGGCCCTTGATTTGTGGGACAATGGTGGGGCCCATAAAACTAGTTTCCACCAATACAAAGCCGACACACCTGAATTTTATTGTTATTATCTGTCATTTTTTAACTAATCTCGAGCTATATCACAACCATTCAATGATAGTTATGGAAACACGTTGTAGGGATTAGGACATACACGTTCAACCATGACGTAGCCAAAAAGTAAAAAAAAAAAAAAAAAAAAAATGCTCAACACAATATGGACAATATCATAAGGCCATCCATGCGAGAAGGTTGGCAAAACCAAATTAATCAAGATTTGGTGCTTTGGTTTAGTGGTAAACTAAAGGGCGCCACTTAAACAAACAATAGGGCCCACATCATAAGACAAAACTTAAAAGAGAGTATTGTTAAGTTTACAACTTACAACTATTTATTACACAAAAGTCTTTTGAGAAATATTGGCAATACAATCACAACATACATGTTTACATATAGAATTGTTACATAATAGTATGAAACTTAATTGTTACTATTTGTTGTCACGTGATATATGTTTTTTTATTGTCTCAAGTAATAGTACATTACTAGTAGTGATAAATAACAATTTCAAGTATGTTTTCTTTCTAATTGTTGTGACCTGAATTTTGTCCAACAAAAAATGGTCATGTCCTATCTCCTAGTATCTACTACATATGATCGTGGCATAATGTATTAACGTTACAAATGTTAAGCATCTAATACTTTATAACATTTTAAGGTTAGTTAAATATTGTCTATTTGTACAAGTTTTAATCGAGGTTAGCTCTAGTGGTGTTGAAAAAAAAAAAAAAAAAATATATATATATATATATATAAGCACTTTCTAAATGGAATACTAAACTGGTAGGAAATAAGTCTTTATATTTAATATATTTTTAAGAGTAATTAATGTCTCGTTCAGTTTGCGGATTCGAGTTGAGATGTGATTTTATGTGAGAGTTTTTCACGGTGATAGAAAAAGTTAAATGTGATTTTTTGAGAAAGCATTTAACTGTAAAAAAACTGAAATTAAAAGGTCGAATTGGTAAAATGAATGAGATCCTAATCAAACTTGCAACCACAAATCCATTAAAGTACTTTAGTGGACGTTTAGTTCACGGATTTAGAACCATTCTCGGTTTATGTTTTTTTTATAAAAAAAAATACTATAACAAACTATAAATTATAATTTAAATTATGACACGAATTCAAATATCAAACGTTCTCTTATTATCGCTACGCCATTACACACGGCGTCGTGCTGATGTGCTCTTCGTATGAAGGGTAGGTTCTGTTTGTGGGGCATCAACGAATAATTCTGTCAAAATCTGAGGGAGACATGCCAATACTGGTCGTTCCTTCTCCGGACTAACTCACAAGCAAAAAGAAAATAATGTAAGCACTGTTTAGCATTTTGCAAAAACATTAACATTCATTAGAATTGGGGACCCCACCAACGTGCGCAGCCACGTGGCGATAGATTGGTGATGATGTGGACCATCAGATTCATATACGCTGACCCCACAAATTATGTCTACAAAACCCATTTAGACTTGTCGGGATTAAGCCAAGCAGTAATGATGGCCTTGCAGCCTAGAATATGCACAAAGAGTGCTTCACACAACCAAATTTTATTGATTTGAGTTTATAATTTGAGTTTTAATATAA